ACTATCGTGGTTTTGCTGTTGATAGTTTATGTAAACTATTGTGTTTCTGCTGTTGATAATTTATGTAAACTATTGTGTTTCTACTGTTGATAATTTATGTAAACTATTGTGTTTCTACTGTTGATAAGTTATGTAAACTATTGTGTTCCTACTGTTGATAATTTATGTAAACTATTGTGTTTCTGCTGTTGATAAGTTATATAAACTATCGTGGTTCTACTGTTGATAGTTTATGTAAACTATTGTGGTTCTGCTGTTGATAATTTATGTAAACTATCGTGGTTCTACTGTTGATAGTTTATATAAACTATCGTGGTTCTGCTGTTGATAGTTTATGTAAACTATCGTGGTTCTGCTGTTGATAGTTTATGTAAACTATTGTGTTTCTACTGTTGATAAGTTATATAAACTATTGTGGTTCTACTGTTGATAGTTTATGTAAACTATCGTGGTTCTGCTGTTGATAATTTATGTAAACTATCGTGGTTCTGCTGTTGATAATTTATATAAACTATGGTGGTTTCGCTGTTGATAAGTTATATAAACTATGGTGGTTTCGCTGTTGATAGTTTATGTAAACTATTGTGGTTCTGCTGTTGATAATTTATGTAAACTATCGTGGTTCTACTGTTGATAGTTTATATAAACTATCGTGGTTCTGCTGTTGATAGTTTATGTAAACTATCGTGGTTCTGCTGTTGATAGTTTATGTAAACTATTGTGTTTCTACTGTTGATAAGTTATATAAACTATTGTGGTTCTACTGTTGATAGTTTATGTAAACTATCGTGGTTCTGCTGTTGATTATTTATGTAAACTATCGTGGTTCTGCTGTTGATAATTTATGTAAACTATGGTGGTTTCGCTGTTGATAAGTTATATACTATCGTGGTTTCGCTGTTGATAAGTTATATAAACTATCGTAATTCTGCTGTTGATAGTTTATGTAAACTATCATGGTTCTCCTGTTGATAATTTATGTAAACTATCATAGTTCTGCTGTTGATAGTTTATGTAAACTATCATGGTTCTACTGTTGATAATTTATGTAAACTATCATAGTTCTGCTGTTGATAGTTTATGTAAACTATCGTGGTTCTACTGTTGATAATTTATGTAAACATTTGTAGCCCCTGTTCCACAAAACATCTTTGTTGTTTGTATGACATTTCAAGGTGTAAAATTCCATATTTATGACTAATTTCTCTTAAGATTTTTTGATTTTTTAACATAATTTGCATTCTCATTAACCTGTGCTTTGTGTTCATATTGTTTTTCTGAACTCACTTCATGAACCCAGAAACAGTACTGTTTTAATCATATCATGTTCTTGATTTTCAGGAAACGTAGTTTAGACTCTGATAGTTTAATGGAATTAACAGAATTGGTCCACAAAGGAGAAAGAAAAGGAATATTTTTAGACAAGATGCCAGCAAGTATACAACAAGTTATACATGCTGAAAATGTGACCTATGTTAAAAATCGAGATATTTATAATAATGAATACTTTAAGTTCATTCGCGATTTAATCAATAAAAATGTGGTAAGTACCAGGATGGAGAAAGGGCCGTCTCATTTATAACTTCATCAGTATTTTTTATCTTGAATTTGTTGTCCTTGAAGGTTGCGCACACATAGAACACGTTCTAAACCCTGTTCCAACTTGTTTTATTGACCATCCAATTACTTTCATGAATCCCAAATGTACAGAACTATTTGGATATGTAGATCTATATGGTGGTTTTCTCCCTAAGACTATGAATTCATTGTGAATTAGAAGAAGTATAGCCATGGTTTTGATTGAAATCAATCTATTTTGAAACATGTCTGACCATTTGCTTTATCTTTTGTTCAAATATTTGTATTACATTTATACAAAATAGCACGTGACTTTTGAATTTTCACTGTATGGAATCATCAAGCACCTGTTTCTCTTCTGATGTT